CGGGCAATGTCTCTGGATCCACTTGTTTTTGGACATCGGATGAACGCCATGACAAATTCAGCTGGCATTTAAGGGTCTTTACCTGTGTTGACCACTGAAGAGTAAGGGCTGGGGTTCGATTCGCGTTATTCGAATGCATCCGCTGCCACCAGTGTAGAATACCCGAGCCCTAATAGGAAAAAGACCGATACAACAGAACAGGCTTTATTGACCAATCAGAAGCCAGAACCACGCGTCAGGCGCCTTCCATCCGAGTCCACCTCGCTGGCCACGCCGCTCATTATATACTGCATCTCATCCATGTCCTTCTCTGTTTGGCTGCTTATCTTCCTCTCATGCCATTGGATCGCAGGGAGACACGGGATTGGCTGCGGCCAGGTGGTCCAACATGTCTGCGCTTTGATCCGACGCCACACCACACCATACACCACTACCGTAGTATACCCGAGCCCTAGTGCAACAGGCAGGCCTTATTGACCAATCACAAGCCAGAACTACACATCAAGTACCGTCCATCCGAGTCCATCACTATGGCTACGCCGCGCATTTTATAATGCTCCGCTTTTGTGGCATTCTCCTGTTGGCTGCATATCTTCCTCATATGCCATTGGAGAGACAGATGAATAGCTGAGGCCAGCGTGGACCAATGTGTCTGCGCCCATATTCATCGCCACGCTATTTCATGTTTAGTATTTTATGATAAATCGTGTGTAAGCTTGTCTAACGCATCCTGTTCTACCTAATGATTGTTAGTAATTTTTGGCTATTTCACCGTATTCCTCTTTTTTGGTGCCATTTTCTTAATATTCTTACCAGTTACCGAACTCTGTGGAATTAAACTGTATACTGCCCTTTTTATTATACTCTTCTGTTTCCTTGTGCTTAATTTGCGTTATCCATTTGCTCTTGATCTGGACCCAAATTAAATTAAACCATTGGTAAGCCTTCCTACTTTGCAGTGAGCAGGCTCGGTTGACAAGTTATTTGCCATCGTCAGCGGATTTTACTTTTAGGCCTATCTGAAACACATTCTTTTAACCTTAATACAGTTGTAAACTATTGCTACGGCGGTGTCAAAACGATAGCGTGGTATTCTGACCTAGTATGCTTTGGGGAAGTTGAAGTTTAAATCCTAATTTTACGTGTTAACAATATTTCTTGGAAGTGGTCTTTGTGATTTCAGCCTTCTCTCTGTTGCTGTTTCATTCTAACAGGCAAACTTTGTAGGTTTACAACTGCACACTTTTCATATCTGCGCAAATGATTGAAGAAGACTATTTTGACATCATTTGGGATTGTTCAATAAGCTGTCCTGAGGCCTCTATGTAATTTATTTCGGCATTTATTGGCATATTTTTGCTAGTCAGCCATCGAAATGGGGTGATGCTTTTCAGTTGTGTACGTTTTCTGATGCGGTCGCTGCTTTATGCAAAATTGAGTTAAGTACGGACCACGATCTTTCCGCGGCAAAGTATGCACGAGAATTGTTTCTCCAAAGTATTTCGCCCACGAAGGAACAACCAGTTGTAAGTTTCACATTTTATGCACTTATTTGCTTATGTAAAGAAAGTTAAAGATGTTGTCCATACCGCAGTGTCGACGTACTTAGAACTTCTTGAAAACTCTCCTAAATCAACTTCCAATTCCCAAGTGACTTGCCGAATGAAAGGACAATCTCTATTTTCATTGGTCCGATATAACCCCTCTCGTCTCAAAAACGAGAATTTGCTGCAATATATTTTTTATCAGGTTTGTTTTTTTTCATGTAACTGTTATTGTTTTAGATTGTTTGCCTTCTCGAGTGTTTTCATCGAAAAGGAATACCTTATCTGAACCTGAATGCAAAAAACGTCTTTCTAGATAGAGATTTGCTTGTTCACATTGGGCCACCTGCTGTACGAGAAATAGGAAATTGTGTTCAATCGGAAAAACAAATATCCTTTTTAGATGAGGGGTTCGTTGATGATCGGACGGACGAATTACATGAGATTTTGCATGGATGGATTCTCAAAAAGGTAAGACAGGAGGAGGACCAGAGGCGGCAGAGGCAACCGTTTACTAAATAACTCAATCCAGTAGCGTTACATGCACATAATGTATGAAAGCAGGTTGCTCTTCATGACTGAAATGGGGGGGGGCAGTGTGTCGTGAAATGCAGCACCCGGGTTGATCTACGTGAGTCGATACTATTCACTGCATATACAATACGTTAAAAGCAAACCTTACACATTACATCTTTCTCGTACATCTCAACTGATTTGTCATTACTGTTGGATTATGGTGCTCTGCGTGGAGCGGAATTATCTTTAACTGTGAAGAGTTTACTTCCAGTGCTTTTTACCCTTCATCAATCAGCTGTTTGTTTAACCTGTTACTTGGTATTGACAATGCCGAAAGATTCTAAGTACCTGGTGTCTAGTAATCATTCCATCAACATTTATTCTTGCCAAACTCAATTGTATAATTATTGCAGTATTGTAGCAATAATCAAGGACTTCTGTAGGTGTCAATTTGTTTCTAGGCACATTTCGACAGGTAAAATGAAGTCACCTCTATTTTGCCACCTCCGTTGTGCTACTTTTGTTCCATTGCTAATAATGTTTGCTTTTAGGTATCGAACTACGATTACTTGATGTATATCAATCGACTTGCCGGTAGGGTAGCTGGTGATCCCACCGCTTGCGCGATCTTACCTTGGGTAACTGATTTCTCTGCACCTGACGGCGGCAATTTTCGTGATCTGACCAAAACGAAATTCCGTCTGACTAAGGGCGAGCATCAACTTGACGCCACATATGGCAGCGGAAAGCGGGAATGGCGCTGTCCCGGTGAAATTCACGCGGTCGACTTACCCACATCAGTTACTTTGCCTTCACCGTCAACATCGTTATTGGAAGAGAAAATAAATTTGTGTAGCAAAGACAGGAGTGTTTTACGTGGGGAACAATTTTTGCCCCACCATCTTCTTGATATGATGCCAAATCTTGCCTACTATACCTATAAGGTTAGTGATTGATTGAAAATGCCTATAACATAATTGACGGTAACGTAGATGCTTAAAGGAGTGTCTCGATGGTAGTTGTGTTACCGAGGCCTTTGTGTTTTGTTTGTAAGTCAAAGTGAGGCACATCTGCTACCTTAAAAAATGAGTGTCCCGCTAACCGGTGTTGGAAGTTTTTTTCTAGTCAGTCATTAATGTCTATGCATGTCTCATTTAATCACGAATCTGTCTTATCAAAATTTGGTAAAAACGCCCACCAAGTTGTTACATTAGGTGAAAAGCAAATGTCGTCTCGAGGATTTCTTCAATCTTAAGTGAAGAACTGTGACGGCAACTTTTTTACCATGTCTTTGGACGTCTGGTAACTTTACATGTAATATTTGTCTTAACCAACCAGTCGAGTTGATTTTAGGCTCGACAGACCTCCGTAGAAACATTGCAGCGTCATGTTCGGCCTGTCTACCGCCCCGAGGAATTCCCCACCAGCCTTCAGCGCCTTTGCGCAACTACACCAGAAGAATGTATTCCAGAATTTTTCACCGATCCCACTATCTTCACCTCTATTCATCCTGATATGCCTGATCTTCAATTGCCTGAGTGGTTTTCTGGTTCGGCAACCGAATTCCTTGACTACCACCGACGTCTTTTAGAGTGTGACACCGTCTCCGCAAATCTTCACCACTGGATCGATCTTACCTTCGGTTATAAACTCCTTGGTGAGGCGGCTGTCGAAGCAAAGAATGTTCATCTCGAGTTGGTTTCACCGAAACCACCGTCCAACAGTAGAGTAACATGTCTTTTTTCGGCACCGCACCCACGGCGCGCAATGAGTGCTGATGACTTAATCGAAGCCTACGAGGAAGCAGCCGAATTTTTTGTAAAAATGTGTTCTTCGCGACCTCCGGAGTTTAAAAAGGTTAAACAGATAACATCGCAGTCCTCAATCGATGTTCTTTTAAAGAGAGACTTGGAGGATCTGGGGTGCTTGATTATTGAAGCAGCTATTGGAAGTGCTGTTCCAGGTGTAATACCTAATCTGGGAAATGCTAGAGGACCTGGCCGTTTGGATCATGCCCGACACCTATTTACGACCTACAATTCTCTACTCCCAAGTGGTCTTACGAAAGCCGTCAAGCTATTACTTTCCGACTCTCCTTGGGATTTGCCAATAAGTCTACTTCGTCGATGTGTTTTTGATTTTCCTCTACCGATAATCGATCTGTATCGCACACTTATCGGGCTGCGTGGATGTGAGTCGAGGCTGAACCAGCTGCACTTTGACGACGGTCCATCGCCTGGCACTCTATTAAGTGTGTTCCTTTCAGAAAAAGCAACACCTCACAGGCTTGACTGTCCATTAGGTGTTCTACATCTTCTGACCTCCATGCTAGAAAGGTCCATCGGTGCTTCTCCCTCGTGTGCCATTGATGGGCTTGTATCTAGGCGGCTTGTGCAACTTTATTTGGCTGTTGGCGGGAAAGTGGTGAGCCATCTGCCTAATTTTTATAAACACCTGTCTATGCGTAGGCAGCAACGGCTACCTAGCATTTAGCACTAACGTAATCTGTGAGCATGGAGGTATGAAACTCCAATATCCATGTTTATGCAAACGACGCTAACTATAGGTTCATCCAAGAGTGAAACCTCATTTTCACAGTCGCAATTTGATCCGACTGGCGTGAGATTCTGTCCCCGCCCGCATGATCATATTTAAGCATGCATACTAAGAGTTAGTGCTTTTGTCATCTCTCGGGCATTGCATTATATTAAGCTGTCCGTGACTTCTTTGGTAATGAAAGTGTCAAATCTATTTTTTTATGACGTAATGTGAGGTAAACATTGTCGTAGTATCGGTTGGCCGCATAATTGAGCTTCGCACACACCCAAATGCAAACTTGTAGTTGGCCCTGTCGAGCTTTGACCATGAGGAATTTGGCACCTAAAAAGTAGCAAATCAGATTCACATTCCTTCCTACAAGTGAGGGTTAAGTGGTCCACCGATTTTAGATGCTTCTATGTGACTACATCGTTTCGTTCACATCTGTTCTCAACTCAGGCGGTAGAACAAGCCATCCTACCTCTGGTGCAGCGCCTCTTTAAGCTGTCTGCTCTTTCCCAAGCATCAAATCGAATCTGCTCTAGGCGCTTCATTCGCGACTGTTTGCTGTCCGTCAGATTACCAGTTTTCCTCTCCACGGTACCTGATCTCCTGGCTATGAGTCTAATTTCTCCCTGCAGTTCTTCCGTCAACGTAGCCCCTCCCGAGGCCCATGAAGTTCCGCTTGCTGACTGTTCTCAGACCACCATGGATTTTTTTAGAGCCTTTCTACCAGACCTCGAAGATGGGTAATTGTCATCTATTAGCTTTATCAAACTTCACCAGCCATCGTACACTCCCCCACGTTCAATTAATTTTCTTTTTCGTTTTAGAGAAAACGCCAGTACTAGTGTCCCGCCAGTTGCTGCTGCTCAGAACAGCCTCCTGTGGCTTGCCACAACCCTAGGCCCCCTTATCACCGGTGAGCATCTTATCCCCTCTCTTTTAAGTGCTCTGGCAATGAGTTATAATGGGGAGGAACAGTTAACCGTCGTTACCATTGGGGAGACAGCCACACGTTTAAATTACCGCATCCCGAAATGCCCTCTCCCTATGCCTGTTTACACTTCGGGCAAGGTGCTTCGTGGCGACACTATGGTCACTGGCATTCTACGCTGCCTGGAGCGCCTGGCATGTCTTTATGGTGTGGAGGTTAGTTATTCGCTTGTCTTCCTTAATAAACATTAAGTTCTATCTGTTGCCCTCTCATTTGACAACTTTGGCTGTCGGCCGTTCTCAGCACCATTTTGGGGGCCTCCGCCTGGCTTCTCTGTGTTTGTTTCAAATACCTCCCATCAGTTGTACTGGGGCATCTTTACACAAGTTGGAGAATGCTGTTAGCTTGTCCTAGTCGGCGGCTCTTTGTCGTGCTGTGTGCGCCACGCGGGTTGCCACGACCCGAGAAATTAGCCTACTAGCAAACATCGTTGTATCAAAAGCAACTTCAGTTAGTTCTCGGTGCTTCGATTCGTTTTTTCTTGATCCGCGGTTTGTGATTCCTTCTCTCCTGTGAAACTTAACTATCTTTCAGAAAACGACTCTTGATCTACTAACTTTTAGATCATTATTCGTCTCTACATACCTGCAGTAGAACGAGCCGTTACTACTGCATTATCAACGCTTCGGACCGGTGCGAATCGCACCCTCTCCGCTCAATCCTGGGATACGGATTGTGAGGCTCGCCTCATCTCGTCACTTGTCTTCCTCCAACAGTTTATTACCTACTTGCCTGCTCGTTATCTCATGGACTACCTTCAGGTCAGGTTAATGAAACCAACTCTCATTTAGTGCCAATAAATAGTGATTAAAATTGTAAATTCACTACTTATAGGAGCCGATTCTTTCTGTCTGCCTGACAGGCGCCTTGACTACGGCTGGCCGAGTAGACATGTGTTTCCCGAGCGGAATTCGTGGCCGATTGGCTCTGCTCTACAAGGTTATAGATTGTGTCTACGTCTTGGGAATCCGGTTGGGCTTCGAGATAATGCGCAGTCAGATGACTGAACTAATTCAACTTCTGTTTGCGTTGTTTGATCGGTCGATTGCAACGGGCATGTCCGATACCTTTGAAGATGCAAAGGAACCCGTAGATGCGCCCGTCTGTTTCTTCTCACCAGAATCGGATGAGGGTAAGGAACTGAAGTCACTTGCAGGTGCTTACCTACTTTCTCCCCTTTTTCTTCTCTCAACCTATCTTGTCCGCAAATTTTTTTGGTCGTTTTTGCTTCAAAGCCCGAATTGATTGTGCTCAACGCACCTTTTCTCGCACTTTTACTCGTAACACGTCCTGTTTGAACCAATGATTTTTGGTCTCTACTTTCTATCTCTCAGAATCCAAGAAATCAGCTGTATGCTCTTGGCACGTAGGATTATATTGCAATCTACAAACCTGTCTGCTGGTCGTTGTCTATTGCAATAAGAGCGCATCATGTGCCTCGATTTGGCCACAGGTCAAGCTTTTGTGGCTGGTTCCTCACCGTATCTGAAAAGGAAGCAGTCGTAATTTTTGGCTTCTTGTAACTGATAACATTGCCTTCAAGGCTTTGCTGACGTCTCACAGCTATCTTCTTCCCCTGGTCCCAAGCTCTAACCCCAACATTTTCATTCTGCTTAGACTCGGTAAACACAGTGACCGAACCGGCACCTGAGCCAAATCAATATGCACGATCTCCCCCCAAACAACACCAGACTCCCTTATTTGTCGTAAAACTGGACCGCCACACGTCGTCTGTGACCGTCGCCAAGGAGAAGCAGCAAGAGCCTCTTCCCTTGTCCCCTTGTCTCTCGAGTTCCCTCACTGAGCCCGCCTTGACCCTCACCTCTGCCGACAACGAGTCGTCCTCAAAGGGTGGGGCAGCGTCGCGCCAACAGAGACCCGCAGTTCTGGATGAACTACAAGCTACCTTCACTCCTGAGCTCGCCCACATGGCATACCTACCACTCTGTCGCTTGACGGGTTGGTTTACTTGTGTGACCTCACTCTCTTTTTACTAGTTATGGACTTGTGTGTTTGCTCCAAGGCAACTAAATATTTTGTTTGAAAACTTATTGCTGCTCTTAAGTGTTTCCATTATTGAATTGTTTAAAACGCAAGGTGCTCCGAGGTATTTTCGAGTGTAATATTCCCCGCTACCATACGTCAACAGGTCACCAAATTCGTGGGATCCCCAAGGCTAACGTCTTCTGCCATTTGTTAATTGATGAGAAATTTTCCGAAGATACGAAACCCTGCCATGCCCAGCTGCATTCGGACGGAGGCGAATTCGCATACTTCACACAAAACATCTCTGAACGATATCTGTAGTCAATTTTGTTCCATTCACTTGTGAACGGACTAATGATAACCATCATTTCATGCTGTCGAATGGCGTTATCACTGGTAGCTTTTTTGTTTGCTCATTGTGAACATACGTACATTTACTTTTCTCACAGGTGGGAGTCATATTGAATCCAGTCTTTACAATATTGAACTAATTCGCAACTTGGTTACGCAGCACGAAAAGTACTTAAATGACCGTGAGAACAGTGATGCAGCCTCAACCCTACTTCAGCCGTCTGATGGAAGGTCGAAAGTCACAATCAACACCGAATATGAAGCCAAACTGGTAAGCTACTGCACCAGGCCCTGAGAAGAACAATATTTTCTTTGTCACCAGACAATGTTTTGCTATCGCCCTCTAGGCGGCCAGTTCGTCTGTGAGCAAACCTTCAATGACACATCTTCACGGTGATTGGATCGAATATTTCCGCGTAAAAGTTGAGTCCTCATCTTCATCCTTAGGAAACTGTCCATCCTCTTCCCAGCGCCCCCTCCTTTTCCATGGCAAGCGCTTAGTGACCTTTGCAGGTGGGTAATTAAGTTTGTTCGTTATTTCCTTTGTGTGGACCGATACCTTAAACTTGATTCACATAAGCACGTCATAGAACCACGAACTTTTCTTCAAAACTAGGTAGGCCCAACTCTTCATAAGTCAACAGTTGATCACTATTCTGGAGCTCATTTACCCCCTCCTCTTGAGGCAGCATTAAGTAGCATGTGTTGTGAAATTCACACCATCAGTTCTACACACTCGAGCCGATGTCACACTCTGAGTTCTTGCAACTGACTAATATTTCAAACGTTCTTTATTAGGTCACAGCGGATCGGTGAGGTGCATAACCACACTCCCGAACGAGAGCAGTTTCGTCACGGCAAGTAGCGATCGTTCTGTGCAGCTGTATTCCATGACGACAGCTCGGAGTCAAGTGGCTGCTTCCTCGAGAAGGCGTTCTTCGGAGAGCGGTGGAAATTCACACCGACCGCCGACAGCTCCATCTACGGTCACTCCTCCGAACTTTGTATTTACTGAACATCGGCGACCCGTCTTTGCTGCTACTTACTTGAATTTTGAGCGCTTAGTAGCCTCGACTGATGGGTCTCTTATTCTCTGGGACCCAGCGACCGGTCAAAAGGTAATGTTCTTAGCCACCAACTTGTAATGCAGTACTTCTGCACATTTGCACTAATATTTGTGTGTCTGATTTTCATCCGCTGACTTTTTTACATCAATCCTTTCTCTACATTTCAACGTCGAATCAGAACTTAAGCAGGTTTCTGTAGTCTTTTTCGATTAAAATGTAATTTTGCCGTCACTTTCCTGTGCGACTTGATGAACTTTTTTGTAGGAACATGCTAAGTCGATAGCCCTTTTGGGTATGCCCCACCGATGTTACCAAGTACAGTAGCCATGGAAGTATGAATTAGAAACACAGCCCTCTGTTTATGGCACACTTGTTAATCGAAGTAAAATTTTCAAAATACGGACATTGTTTAAATGAAAAAATGTCAAATTAACATTACCATCATTGCTTTTATGCTTATACTAGAACAGCACTATTTTTAAAGGTTACGATTGGTGTTTAATAGACCTGTCGATTGAAAGACCCTACAGGTAGGATTCTAACCTAATCCATGCACACATCGAGTCATGTATCGTATTCGCTACAGTTGTTGAAAATCGTTGCCCGTTCCAGATAAGAATTCAACCATAATTTAAGGCTCACATAGCCATTTTTTGCACCAGGTGTCTGTATTTTTAACGTCGGGCGGCGTTGGAGACAATGGCAATCCTTCGGGAGCGTGTGTCTACCGTGGTTCTTGTGCTCTCCCCGCTCCCCTTTCCTCGATTTGTGGTGCTCCTGCTTTTAGGAGTACCATTGTTGCTGGAGATGAGGCTGGTTTCTTGTTGGTCATTGATCCACGTGTTGGCGCAGGCGCAGTGGCCGCGGTTCTACGACTCAACGCAGCAATCGGCTGTTCTACCGACCCCTGTCCTGCAATGGGCCGCAGTGCACTCGTCATCAAAGACTACAGACTGGATCAGCTTACTGGTAGACCTACCTGTGCATGGTGGTTGGGCTTGGTCATTTTGCGTTTGGTAATTTTCATCCTCTCTTTCTAGGGGAATCCTCAGTGACTTCGCCAGGTGCTCTACGCTGCCTCTCGCCACGAGTGGAGGATAATAACTCCGTGTTGTGTGGCTTCTCCACGGGCCTCGTGTCCCAAGTTGATATTCGTTCTGGGGGCGTGGTCGCCACCTGGAGGGGCCACACAGATTCTGTTTCTCAGGTATGCAAGTAACTGACTTTCTGAAATCCTGTTTGTTTGGTCATTATGCTCCTTCTTGAAATCTCGTACGATTAAGTAAACAAAATGAAAACATTTTGAAGGAGCCCAGAGAGACAAGATGCCAAGTGTGTGCTTTGAGGCCAGTCGACTCGTCATTCTTTTTGTCCAGGTTTTCCAACATTGTTTTACGTATGTTAATATTGGAGGCGTTGATTCAGTAAGTAGTTAAACCAGTCACCATAGTTATGATGGAAGTCCATGAGAAGAAATCATGTGCATTTCGGTGTTTTCAGTCGTATAATTGCGCATCTTCCCTGTGCTAGTGGAATCAGCTGAGTTTGTGCCGTTCTCAACTTGAAGTCAAGTGTAAACATATTTGGCCGTCGTATTTGTGCAATAAGGGATTGCGTTTTGAACGCCTCGCCTTTTGTGTGTGTAGTTGAGTATTGGAGGATTATTCGCCACTTTACTAGGAAGGTACAAACGAAACACAAAACTAATATTAATCAAGCCTGTTTACATCGTTGATACATGTTATGTTTTAACCGATACAACCTCCATTCAAGTTAGCTCATCTAATCAATCAATAGTATCCCTATTTGTCCTTCTTAAAGATCTTCAGCCACACATCGGGTTGGTTTTCCTCGACCTCTGCAGATCGTAGTGTGGCTTTTTGGCGTCTTTGTCCAAGTGCCAAATTTGTCACATGCAATCGCACAAGTCAGCACCTTTCATGTCCCCAGTCTGCTATGACGGGTATCACTTGTGCAGAACTCGACTACAACGATACCTTGTTAGTCGCTGGTCCTGTGCAATCGCCCTCGGATTCCTCTCCTGTGGTTGTCTCTGGTGGCCTCTCCAAATGTCTCTTTGGTTGCTATGACAACCCCAGTGATGATGACACTGACCTCACATTCCGATTAGGCGGCATCATCGGCCTTGGGGGCGGCCAATTATCAGCGCTTGCGGTACTGCCATACACGGGTTGTCTTATCGCTGGAACAACTTCAGGACTGCTCAATCTCTTCTACTAACCACACATCGCATAATTCCCCATGTGTAATTATTCCCTTGCTACCTTTTTTTAATACATTCATACATTGTACAGACCACATACTTTTTTTTATCGTAACCGCGTAACGCTTGCAGAAACTGGGAAGCTGCTTTTAACTCTTGCGCTAATTGCTACCGGATGCTGTGGCAACATCAACTCGTTTATTACACATCATGATGTTGAGTTAGTCACTGTGGTAATGCACACTTGCGTTCGGCCTCGCGTTAACTCATGGGCCACTAATTTGATTCGTGTTGGTCCAGCATTATAGAATACCTTCTATGCGCACGAAGATAACTTGGGACATTGTAACTCTTTGATGGGAACTAGGGAAGAACGACTTTGAGCCACTAGCAGACCCTTACCCATTTTGGTTCCAGACTGTGAATGCCTAACAACTATGATCAGACAGGTGGCAATGTCATTGTCATTAACTTTGTCGATGGAATTTGGTCAACCCTTCAAAGACTGATGCCTTTCAAGCATTCCAGAGGAGCCTGTGTTCTTTGTGAGTATCAGTCCTAGATGCTGATAACTCATGCTATTGAGTAATCGGCAACTTGAATGCACGGTGATGCTAGGCGCGTTAAATATCAATTATTGACACTTTTATTGCATATTTCAAGTTTGGCGTAAAGGACGACGGAAAGCATGTGTTACGGCAATTGTGCAAGCGTTTTAGCTGCATGTTTCAGTATTTTGGGGTAACTGCACTTAAGATCTAGGAATCGTCCACGGAAAATATTTGGCCAGGTTGAGAGAGAGGGTTGTTGTGACTGATCTTGACTGACACCAAGTACTGGGATTACGCCACGATGGTGTGGTGGTTCGGCAAATGTCTCAGTTAAGCCCTGGCTCGTCTCAACTCGGGCCTCTCCTGATGGAAGTGCTAAGGGTCAGTGCCACTCGGATACGCTCAAAGCCCTTTCGATTCTACATGAATGTTCATCCTGGATGTTGCATCGTGGTTTTTCATGTTACGTCAACTTTCTGGAGTGTTGTCTAATTGACATAGTCATTTGAAATAGGAAAACTGTTACTGGTAAATGATGGCTTTATAGAGCGTGGTACTTGTGCATCACCAAAAAATTTAGTCATCGCATTTTAGATGGTAGTTATTACGGTGATTGGTTACTTGAATACAATAAGGTGGTGTATTGTCTTGATGCGTTAAATACCTTTTTAATGAAAGTTGGTTTAGTTGTTAGTGCTCATAGTTGCGAGGTGTGTTATCTTGGGCTGTCTCACACGTTTCACAGTCAATGAATAACTTACTGTCCTGCTTGAAATTCTTGCACTTCACGACCGTTAGAGCCTCCATGCATTTATCCACCACGTAAGAGATGGCCATGTCATTGGTGTTGCAGATACGATGCCCAAAGGAAAAGGAGGTGGCAACAAAGGTGGGCCGTCGTCTTCATCTGGAAAAAAAGGTGACGCCGCTGAGGGTTCTTCTAAGGCACCAGCGAAGGGTGGCAACTCGGTTAAGGTGAGCGGTTTTTTGTCGACTGAATATTACATTGTGATGTGACACTGTTTCTCGTGTTTGGCTCCTGCCGAGTGCATGTAAAAGAATACCGAGGTATATTCTAAGTACGTTGTCAAAAATTTAAACACTGATCTATAAAACATACTTCGTTAATATTCAGGCGCGAAATGCATTTACTTTTGGCACAAACATAGGGACTTGAGCGCGGTGGCGCTTTTTTTACAGAAAAACGACCGTCTTTGCTGTATCCTCTCCAGGTTCGGCACATTCTCTGTGAGAAGCAGAGCAAGGCTCTGGAGGCCATCGAACAGCTAAAAGCCGGCCAGAAGTTTAACACAGTGGCAGAGAACTACAGCGAGGACAAGGCCCGTTCTGGCGGTGACTTGGGTTGGATGACGCGTGGATCTATGGTGGGTCCATTCCAGGTCAGTTTATCAAGCTAACACCTAGAGTACCTGTTTCTGCACCCACACATTAAATTAACCCATTGCATCCATTTGACTTCTCGAGTTATATAGCCTAGAGCATTTTATCCGCACGCATCACTCACATGTGTAGCCAATTAGAATGACGCACTACTTTCAAGAGAAGCAAACATAGACTAAAAGAGGAAACAGCGGCAACGCAGACGCCTGTTGTCGCATTGAAATCGGGGACAACGGGGCATAGAATTTCGAACAACTAAACTGTGAGAGATGGATGAACCCTCATTGTTAATTTACTACAATGTAGTCGGTGCCCTGCCCGCATGTAATGCGTAAATTGTCATTTGCGCAAACTCGACTTATGCATTGTTTTTACTTCAGGAGGCAGCTTTCGCACTTACGCCTTCTACAGTGGACAAGCCAGTCTACACCGACCCTCCAGTGAAGACCAAATTCGGTTACCACGTCATCATGATCGAGGGAAGGAAGTGAAGCTGCTCTGAGTGACAATGCTTTCTTAAACAGAATTGGATTCAGTAATACATTTGTCTCTCATTGTTGGAAATTGCTAACATTTTGCTGGTTTAGCTAAATACATGACTCAAGCACCTCACATTAGCGCACGGACAGTTTCCGGTTGGAGTGAACAACAGCCCCATTGACGAGACATCACGAAACAAACTACTCCAGCGCTAAAATTTGCAAATAAAATTTAGAGTAGTATCACCCAAACAGCGTATGTCAAATTAGCATGACAACGTGTCGAATCGTCACGACTCAAATCCGGAATGGTGTGAGTAGATATTGGAGGAAGTTGGTGGTTATTCTATTAAACATCGTGACACTAAATTGACGAACCGCATTCGATGTAACGCAGATGGTCGTTTAGTCGTGTGTAGTCTTATCAAACCCGTACTTAGCTGGCGTGACTAGACGTTTTTGGCTAAACTGTCGAGTACGGTACTATTGTTGATGGATGGTTATCAGTCTGCATAACCTAAGAATTGAATGATGTAAATAGGAGACGACATGCCTAACTAAAAGTGAACGTTCTTAATTCACTCGATAAGTTGTTTCGTGCTTATAAGACCTTTAAATGTTGCTGGATCTGTAAGGAGACAGTTTTAGACTCAAATTAACTCCCACTGTGTTGAATAATTCTTTTTGGGTGATCGTGTATCTTCTTCATACTTGTGTCAATCATTGGAGACTGCGTAAAAATAATGTTCAAGCCTTTCGATGCATGTACCGGTGCATTACCCTTAAATACAGACCATTGCTGAATAAACGATGGTAAATCACAAACAGAGGTTTATCCTCCCTATTAGTGACCGGTTACATCAATAGATCCTAAATGCTTAAAAGTATATAATATTACTGCTAACTTCCTATGGATATTTTCGAAGGCTCAATCCTTGGTACCAAGACGCCAGCGTGATAATGCAATATCTGCAGGCAATTTATATGATGACTAGTACTTAGTTGATGGAAAAATAATGATTTTCGATTTACTTATATGCTTCCTCGGGGAAACGACCTTGCGGAATTATTCGGTTGGTAAATTTCAACCCCAGTAAATTTAGAGTCACTAATAAAATCTGTAAAGACAGACAAATCAATTGGTCAATTATTTCGACACGTGGAAATGGGCAAGTCTATGGACTCCCGAAAATATTCCCCTTATTACATTATTAATGTGCTCGACAGATCCTATGATAGTCAAATCACGCCGGTGTTTCCGCTTTGTAAATGCCATGAACGTAGGCATGATTACAATAAACAGTATTTTTAAGAAAACCACATGGACTACGTACACGTCAAGCACCGTCAGGATCTACATAGCAAATAGAGGCAACTAGGAGATTGTTAGGAGGGAGCTCGGGTGAAGGAGAGAGGACATTGAATGAAGATCGATCATCGGCAACAGATAAGACCACCACAAAACCATAAACGGGGGACGAGGGGATTCGTTCAAGCTCCGTTGCTTGGGAAACAGCGAGAAGACGGTTTTTGAGCGTGTCCCGACTCACAGTTAATGCAATAGGCGTGCGCCAGCCCTTGGTCTCTTCTTCAGCATCCCGAGCACCGTGGGGGAGCAGAGAATCGGGTATCACCTCATTTCCGACCTTGTACACGGTGTACTATGAGAAAGTTAAAACTGGTAATATACTGAGAGCATGTTCGGTTGCATTTTTGAATACCCGGCATGCAACAAAGTTGTGTCCTATTCGCCTATTAGATTTGGACTGAGGTAAAGCGATTTTGCAACTTTAATTTACGGCTTCAATACTGAAAAACCATTTCTAAACCTACTCTACGTTGAAAGTGGGATTGTCTTAAAAACACTAAGGATTTCTTGAGAACATTTAACCTGATTTACAGATAGAAACCCGTATAATTCAAATGAACAAACCTCATGCAAAGTCAGTAAAAAGATGGTGCTAGTGCCGTCATTGACGCAGTATTAAGAGAATTAGCTGTCATTTATACGACTCATTCACACAATACTACGAACACGAGCATAAATTAAGTTATAACAAACTAATATTGTCCGCATTTTAGTGCATGAGCTTATCGGTAATCACGTTAAATACACAACATGACAATCATGTTGAATAAATTCCCCAAATTGGTTTACCTCACTAGCATTCAGCTTCAAGTGGTGAGGATGCAATCTCCGCTGGAGATTTTCGCCATGGAAGTAAGCGCTCACTCGTAAGTCGCGTTGCAACATACACTGCTCGGGACTACAATTAACAGCACCAGATGATCTTGGAAGACGAATAATTTTCACTTCCTTCGACAGATCCTCGTGCAGAAAGGTGCTTAAGAAGCCATCTTCAATCACAAGCACAATATCCACCTCAAACGCAGATGCCGTAGTACGAATGGCTTCCAAGCCAGCTTGTTTTCTGTCGGCTGTTTTAGAAAATCCGCCCATGTTAATGATACACCCGCTTGAGAAAACTTTGCTGTCATTTTCCGATCTTATGTTAACTAGGTCAGCAAGTTGGCTCACCTAAAAGACGTGGTCTTTTATATCGGGGTATGGGAATAAATGTTAATCGATGAGTTAATAGGTACCTGCTCCCTAAAGAGATTTAGGTTTGCTGAAGGATCAAGGTGCCCAAAACAAAAGACTAGAGGATCTTCCTCAAGCCCCCACCCTTCCAAAAGATCGTAAGGCTTAGTAACGGCAAGTGCTGCAATGGTAGAAGGAATACACACCTAGAAATTGAAGGAGAAGACGACCAACACACCTGATTTAAACCAACATTGACGTCAACAAGAATTGGTTTTGACCCTCTTCTGGTAGCATAATTAGCCAATGTTCTACATAGTACGGATTTTCCTACACATTCCGGTCCACAAACAAGGACACGTGGTCCACGAGACTGCTCCTCCGTGGCCTTTTTTCGGGCAACCTGAAGGTTTGCATGAATATTCATGTAAACATGAGGGAGGTCATGATCCTCAACAGCCGTCATCACAAAAGCGTCAAGTCCAGAGCCCCTCACCAAGATTTTGCAACCGTGAAATGTAACGATGGTTCCCCTTTGACCATTTTCCATGATAAGTTCGGTTCCACATACAAGCTCTGTACCAAATATTTCGGCTTTACCCGAAACCAATACCAGTTTAACCTGTGCATTGGCTTCATACCGTAGCATCTGATACTTTTTGAGAACATACTCAGTCGTTTGAACACTCGGCAAAACTACTGCATCCATTTTTATACTGCCGCCTAACCGGGATTGATACAAACTCATTATGCAAATCCCACCATGACTACATTTACCACATAAAATCATATGTATGTGATAAAATACTGTAAATGTATCTTGCTTAACCAGCCACAAAAAAAATTAGTTTAAGTGTTTTGTTTTTAGAAAGGTGAATTTAATTTTCGGAAACGGCCCAATTGGAGCTTTGCTTTATTATAATTTCATTTTTACCTTATTTGAGATTCTTAAACCCTAGTGCATAAATTTAATTAGACCAAATAAAATCGCACAGTATGACAGTTTGATCCTGACTGTTTTTGGTATTAATATAGCTAGAGATGTAAGGTTCCGTCGTTTGTCACATCGCCCATGTACATTATTCATATATAGTCTGTACCTAACGTGTAAGGTATCATGTTTTTTTGGAAAGAATGGGGCTGGTAATTTTTATTTCTTTTACAACGGTAAAGTAAGACGCTTTTGTTGAGTGCCACATGTTATTCCGACTGGCGTTCACTCGGATTTATAACATATTTTCGCAAAATTCACTCGGTTATTTGTGTAGCTGATGGTTTTTTTCTTCTTAAGTAATTTTTCGTATGTCTGAAGTTAAACAAAACCCGGTTAAATGTCTACTTACTGTCTTAAGTTCATGAATGTTATATTTTATTAAATGTTTGTTTTTTTTAACGACCAAACTAGTCAATTTGATACTGCCTCATCCTGACTTTGGCAATAGTCAGATTCATACTTCTAGCATTGATAGGTAAGCGTCATTAGTGGGATTTTTGGTGGCCCTTTATTGATTTTTTCTTTAATCATAATTTCTTTCCAAAAAGCTGCTATTTGGTTCCTCGCATTTTTTACTTGTGAACCTTTTTTATGTTTAAGCACGTTGAGTATTCGTGTATTGATATTGTCAGACAAGTTACTTTAAAATTGGTCTCTTATTTGTTATTTTTGTCAAATGACCCATTTACATTTAGTTTTTACCTAGATGGTGAATATCTTATTTTATGTCTAAGTTCGTGTTTTGCTCGATGCGTAAATAGGTGTTTTGTTTTTTTCCAGACTATTTATCATAAGCTAAACAGTGATCTGAAGAAGGTGAGGGCTTCGCGATACGATCCCCCGAACTCTGAATTACCAAAGTCATTTGCATCCCCAAGCCATCGAGATGACATGGCGGAAACATTAACAACAGAGTCCCGTGTATGCTTACCACTGTAGCGTTATGCACTCAAGATCTGGGCTCCATTTACTTTAAGATACACATTTATTAAATTTTGTTGTTTGTGAAATTTCCAACATTGTTTTATGTTAGTCGTTTTTTGTTGCCCCTTAATAGTCTGAAAATCCATGGTGGTGGCGTTTGTTGACGGGAAGTTGGCGAATTCAGATGGCCTTCACGCTGATTCTATGGGCCTCTCTGCTGAACGTGGGCTTCGGTGCCGTCTTTTTTGTGTGCGCCTCTCTCTACTGGTTATGTATTTGGGGTACTGAAGCACGTCGTCGGCGTATGCGTGCCGAGGGGAACACTGTCCTAGCTGGTTGGTACTTTGACAATTCCCGCATTCTGTGACTTATTTTAACAAACAGCGACAATTTGAGCTTCGTTCGTATACTTTGTATCAATAATGTTATAACTTATTATGACACACATTTTCGCTGCTCAGGTAGGGGGTTGAATGCATACAGTAATTGTTATCTGCACCCAGATTCCATGCCTGGTACCAAATAAGATGTTTTTGTCAAACCTCTACTGGACTCTTCGAAGTTTGTCTAGTCTACTTAATCACTTGTTTCTGAACGCATTTCGTCGAACTTACTATTCGATTCCCAGTTCCTATCCTGACTTGATTTGTACTTTAACGTGTCCTTTTAGTTAAATAACCAAAGATGGCTAGTTTTAAAAGTAACAAATATCTCTTTTTTACCTGCATCTAATGATTTTGTAAAGGTGTCTGGAAAACGAATGGTGAAGAGACAGTGGTCCCAAATAATTCAGCATTTGTATCTTTAGTTCCATGAGCGCCTTTGTTCAATTATCGGAACTTTATTCTGTTCCTACCCAACCAAGTGCATATTATTTCTGTAGAAGTTAGAAAGCCATGTTTTTGTTGCTTGTGTGGGTTGACAATTACACAAAAGTCAAAGACCTATGTAGACATGAACAGACCAAAAACGAAATTTTTAGACGACACCGGGGTCAAGGGATTTGCTTCTACATCAATCGTGTGGTTAATTAGCATATCAAGGCGTAAGTTTAAATAGGACTTTAGATCTCTGAGCAAACGTCGCTCCGTGAATAATTTTAACCCTTGATGTTTGGTCACCGCAGTCATAGGGGGCTAAACATATTCAAGAACGGAGTCACAATCATAGAATCCCCAGTGGGATTTGAGAGCTACTCAAGGGTTAACTATCTACGTAGACACGGCTCGACGGGAAAGAAGTACGCAGACAATCCTGGGCTCAACCTATTTATTGCGACAGCCAGTTTACCTAGGCACGCTTGGCCTTCAATCTCAGAACGTCGCTACATGAAATAGATAAAAGATTATTGACTGGACTTACCCTCGATTATAATTGGCAATCATATTTATATGCAACCTTGAGTACGTTTCACATGGGCGCCATGGTCGCCATCAAAGCCTTAATTAACTGGGCATATCTTCCATTCTTGTCATTTATTTGTTGCACTTAATTCCGATTAAAGAAATATCATGTAGGCTCAGAGGGCTTGTACCAGCTATTGTCAAAAGACTTTGACCAGTTCCGATTTCAATACAGTGGGATGTCTGCCGGTGTAATTGGGATATTGCGTGTCGTCAGTCGACCAACTATCTAAGTGTGATGATTCGAGTGAGCCAAATGTTCTGCTTGCTGTCTAGAAGGTTGAAAAATCATGCCGGTTCTTATTGGGTTTAATCATTGTTTTGATCGTCCACATTCATAATAATCATGCAGAACTTGATAAACAGTGCTCATGATGCTGAGGGTTGATATTCACAAGCCTTAACTCCTTGTAAAAGTCTGTTTTGCGTAACATCACGCCATCAAACGTAACCAATTCATGCCACGAATATTTTCCGTATTTATATTGCCTTCTTCTTAGAGTACCAAAACCAGCTTTCACGGTAGTAGAAACGTGTCCTCCAAAGAATCCAAAAACATCTATTACTAAAACCTTGTATAGGACATGATTATCGTAAGAATAAAAAGAAAGGTACGCACAGGAAGGATTTTCAACAGAGGTTTCTTCTGGTTATAAACGTCAATAGCTGAATAGTTAAATGCAGTCAAAAATCAGAGGGCATTTGATGATGAGGCGGTCTGTAACGCACCAGCGCGGATCCTACCTAAGAGAAGAAATGGACAACCTGTGAGTTGGAACGAGAGACATGGTCCAAGCAAACCCACTGAGTATGGCCTGGGACGCAGAAAGGAAATTTTTTAAGAATTGATTCGAAGAATGATTACAAAACGAATCGAAGGAAAGGAGAGCCAACTTGACGACATAATTCAAGAGACACGATATGAATTATTTACCGACTGTTGAACAGGCCTAAAAGGGTAAAAATATAGGTAGAATTTACCAGGCATGAATAGTATTCAATGGCGTGGAAGGAGGCGTGTGTGACGGGTCAAAGGATTAAAGTTGAGCTCAAAACCTACCATATATAATATGCTAAGACTTCAATAAAATTTACTTAATAGATATCTGCATTTTTAAAATATACATTAGTTTTAAAATCTTACGATTTCTTCCACTTTCTGTTTTAACGTATCACAAATAAGGCCACCCGAGTTGGACATTTCCTTGTCGTTTGATTGATTTTCTCCCTTGGTTTGTTTTCGAAAGACTGTGAATGAATGAATGTCGGATGCTATGAGGTTGAGTCACTCTCAGCCCATAAATCCTATTTAAATAAAACAAAATTTGCTACTAAATCTGGACGTCAGCCACAATAGATGGGAAATAGTCTTGTTTGCTGTCGTTTGTCGTGGACAAGCTTCACGAATTCAGAAGAGGAAATTGTGCCAAATGCAGATTACCAGTCGCGCTTTGAATTCACAAATCACGGGGCGTGTTATCCTCATATTGTTACATCTATTCAGCCATATACACTTCCACGCGATGACAACTACCAGCGCCTCCTCTCCTATTGTCAGAAAGCCCTGCAGGCCTGTGCATTGGATGCATCAGTTCAGCACATAAGTGAAAGAGAGCCCGAAGGTATTCCTAGGGTTTTGTTTTTTTACTTATTTAGATTTTGATTTTAATCCTTCTCTAAATGGTTCTAAAACGACGTTATTTCTTCGTTCAATCTTCCGTTCAATTAACCAGCACTCACCAATGCCGAAGGTATGGATGCTTAGGATATATTCTGTCTTCTGATAGGTGCTTGGCTTGTCAGACAGTGGAAAGATGAAGCGCTCTAGAAGCCGATTTCAGCGGTGGAGCTCATGTAGCTCTGTTTACATAGGTGATGGGTGCTTGTCCAAACCTGACCCCAAACTCATCCTACACTGCGTTTCTGTTGCAGTTTGTGCGTTGATAAAGTCGGAAAAGAAAAAAAGCAAACAAGTTTTCAAGTGCGTTAAATCTTCAGATCGTGACCCTCTTATCGAGTGCCAGTCTGATCAATCACCAAGCCTAACTTCCACTTATGACATGGAAAATGAATGTATTGTCAGTCCTGAGATTTACAAAGAGGTCTATGAAATCTATGATGAGCGTGTTCACCCATTATTTGTAAGTTCTTATTTCTTGATGGTCTTTGTTTCTTCTTGCTGCATCGTCTATTTATGACAAACTTTTATTTACTTTTGTCATTAATTAAGAGCGTGTTACCATGTAAGTTGCGGCTTCCGCTATCTATGACTAACTTGTAACAAGTTTTGAACCAGAGTCATGTTTATTATTCAAGTCTTAATCGTTTGAGTTCACCTTTTACTTTAGCCGGCATCTTCCTATTGCCAGGCCAGTTTACAACTGCCTCCCGACGTGTCGTCATTTAGTGGTCTTCGGTTTCAACACCAAATCCTTTATTTTCTAAATCGATTGTTTTCTTCATCTCTTGTTACCGCTGAAAGTGCAATTGTGGCTTTGGTGAGTGTCGGCTATCAAAATTGCTGGTTTGTTATTTAATTTGTAATCGTTAGTGATTTTGTTTTCTTCTAATTTTTGTTGATGCTTTTGTTGTCGTAAATCAATAAAACATGGTCATATCAATCTCATTCCTTTTGACTGAAAGGACTAGTTTTTTACATTTTTTATCATTTTCACATGATCATACTAATTTTGGAAGTTATGTGGGGTATTTTTTCGTTTAGGTTTACCTTGAACGCATAATAAGTGGACTGGAATTGCATGTCGTTGCATGGTCATGGCGTCGACAGTTACTTGCCTGCATTTTAATTGCGTGCAAGGTGCTTGACGACCAGGCTGTATGGAATGCAGACTACTGCCAGCTTCTTAAAGATGTTCACGTAGAGGACTTGTAAGTGATGCTGCTTTCATTTGTGAAAAGGAAAGGTTTGTTCATCTCAACCATTTTCTTTTCCATAACGGCCTCTTATGCGATTCGGATTCGTGATTCTGAAGCGCGTCAAATCAATAAAATAACATATTTAATGATGCTAACCCGAGTTTATTCTATTTTGTTGAAAGGTGCTTTCTCTGTAACTAATACCTAAATTTCAAACCTTGTTTCCTATTCTTTTGAGTGAACCACTAAATTTTTTCCCCTACGTCGTCGTTTTGTGTACGACTATCCAATCACATGTAAGTTTTCAGTACATCTGGGCTTTACAAGACCTTTTAGTAGCGCTACATAATGTGGCTTATAAGACTCGTCATGTGGGGATTTTTTTGAACAAAAAGCGCATTGATTAAGCTTTAAGGACTTCCAAAATTAAATGTCCCGTCTAAAGTTTAAAAAACTTACCAACTGGAAAGCTTTGAAAATACCCATTTCTGTTTTTTTTTAAATGAGAACGGTATAATTGTAGGTTTTAAGGTCTAGTTCGCATAACCTTTCATCGAATGTTTAAAAATATTCATGATCTGTAAAGAGCTGTTTTTTTACACCGGTGTTCTTATCTCGGCTGAAAATAATCCAGTTATGGACTTCACTGCCACCGGCCTAACCTTTCTTCTTCTGACCCTCAGCAAAGGCAATCTGCACATAAAAGCCCATACCATTTATTGAGTGACCAACCCGTCACTGATTACGCTTTACCGTATGTAGCGTTGATCCAAGCATGTCTTTGGTGTTAAGGGGCAATTTCGATTCAGGAGATGAGGTTTTTAGTTTGCTACTTTGATCTACGTGTCACAAGTGTTAACGTTTGAAACCAAACTCACTGATTGCGCCTTAAAACCTACACCTGGTCCTTTTCTAAATTTCGGTATTGGTTTTGTGAAAACTGTATCGTTAGCGTAAACATTTGTTGCGTACCCTTCATTTTGGCACCAATGCTGACCATGCATACGTCCAGTGTTCACATTCTTGAGGTCTGCATTTGTTCTCAAATCTATATTTATCAGGAAAGCTGCTTTTGGCAATCTGGTACCTGAAAAAAAAACACTCGAAATGTACCTTTTTTATGCAAGAATACATAATAAAATCACATCATGACGCCTTGCCTATGTCCTTGAAAGTCTCATCCCGGCCAATTTTTTGTAATTCATCCGAAGTGGGAAATAGGCTTCGGTGTGAAGTATTGCTAAATTTTTGATTTCGTCAAAATTCGCCCTGGGTCTAGTAGTGCCATGCAACTTGGGCTGATGCTTCGGTCATCAGGTCATTATTTGCTGGTTCACATGACCTTTAAACGTAACACAACTACTGTGCAACCAATCATTACATTTAGCGGCAGTTTATTTCCACTTTGCGCTACAGAATTTGGTTCTTCTAAAAAAAAGTACCATGGTTTGGAAATCTTTAAGGGTTATTGCCTCTTCAGATATGATAAGCGAGCTTTTGAAGACAAATGCCCATGTTCAAGTACTTTTCCTCAATTGATTAAAACTAGCAACAGAATCGAACTCGATTAAAATTTGTTAATGTCACATTGCGCGCGTAAAGCAAATGAAGTGTCCCAGGTAGTAGAAGCCCTCTCACGTGCCATCCCTTGTGTGGTGCTGCTTGATCATTCTATATACAGCGGATTTAGTAAACGATGGAAACATAAGTTGGGGTGGTTCAGGTCCGAGGGTTTAATCGGTTGCGGTAATCCCTTGTTTCTATAGAAACGACCTCGAACGCCACACTTTAAGCTTGCTTCAATTCAATACTGGTGTTCCTCCCGCTGTATACGCACGCTACTACTTTGATCTTCTGACCCTTGGTGATCTGGTGGCATTGACGGACGTCTTTTCGAGGCCTGCGCGTCGCCGTATGACCCCGAAGCTGGCGCGACGCTTCCGGATCCTTCCACCCACGGGCGATGTTCGCACCGAGCAATGCTCTTCGGGTATTGGAGCAGCGGGCGGCGGGGGTGTGCTCTTCGATCTCCCCTGTCTCCCCGAGGACACCAAAGGAAACCACTTGCACAAATCGGTCACATGCCCCAGAAGACCAATGGAAACGATGGATGTGCGTGGTAGTAACATTCCCCCCGCTCATTTACCCACTGGTTTTTGCTTCTCAAGCAAATTTCTTTAACGATTGCTCTCAGGCAAGCTTAATTATGAGGATCGCCAAATTGAAATCCTGAATTTAGTTTTGAGTCTGAGTGCGATGAAGACCCACAAAGCTACTAAAAGGAATTCTCGACTAGTATTTTTGTCAGGTTCTTACGTGTTAGTAAAGACATCTTGCGCAAGCACTGAATTAATGTATTTCAGTTTTGGTGTGAACGGCGGTGAGATTGGTTTCAACTACCTTCTCCTAAGTAATTTATAAACGCATTGGGAGGACAAAATTTGCTATGATTTGAAACTCTGACTCATTTAACTTAGTTACTGCTAACTTGTCTATAGCGGAAATTTACCGTGTCTATGGTTTTCAACTATTATTTTCACGTTGATCCTAGTGCTTTTAGGGGAATCATCCATTGCTCAGAAAAGTGTAAATTTGTTTATCATGTGTCTTGTGGTGCCATTGTTAAAAGGATTTGTTTTTGTGCTCAAAGTCAGTGGACATAAATTCATATGTTGTTGTGGAATGTCATGCGGACAAAAAAGTCAGTGTTTGTGGCAGAGGTTATGCTGGGTCACTTCCAGTTTCTCCCGATTTTCAATGAATGAACGGGATCGCCATTTTGTACCAGTGAGTGAACATGAGACTACGCTCGGCTCTAAAAGATGGCTATAGCAGTCTGTGGGCACCCGCATTTGCGTCACAACAAGGCCAGACAAGGAACTAAATTAGGTCCCCAAAGCTGCAACATAGAACGAAATTATAATCCGTTTTCGCCCTCTAGGCAAACCATTTACCCCCAGGAATGAAATCAAAAATACATCAGGTTAGAGATCCTAGCGAAAGCGATTACGAACGATCGCCATCTGCCCCATCGTTGTCATCTTCAGCGTCTTCTCACTCGTCAACATTTACTGCCACGTCGGGTTGTTTTCAGTTGTCCCCCGCTTCTTCAACCGGCGTGTACACCCCTTGGACTCGCCCTGGAGCCATTCACTGTGACGGCCGTGGGGCGAGCAATTCACTCATCTTGCTTCAACAAGACTCTGGCCTCTACTAAAATCTGCTCCCGTCTTTCATTTTCTCGCCTTTCCTCCTTCACAAATAATAATCCGCATTTATCCTGATTTGCTGTCATGTTCGTTCCCAGCTTACCTCTCATTTACCTGCATCTTCAAGCTCTATGTATGTATATAATTATTCAAAATACTTTGCATTTGCTGCGTGAATGCGTGTGTATGATGTTGCCGAGCCTAAAGTTGATTTCGGCATTCGTTTGTTCAGCTATTGTTGTCGCGCTTTTGGGCAATATGTGCTTTGCTCAGTCCAATCAAGCACGTATTTTTTACCAAAAACTAATATCTAGCATTTTATGCAACTCTGTCGTTATTCGCTTATCATAATGCATTACCAATATTTGAGGTCGAGAAATCCAAACGGATCGCGAACCTTAATAAAGGTGGTGTTTTTGGTCCGTCCTGCATTAAGAGGGCTTTCGCGTTCACGGGGCAACTGTAACCCAAGCGTGGGGGGTTAGCGAAACTACAGAGTGTGGTCAATTCGATGCCTGTTGTGTTTCGTCGAAGTCTCACTCAGGACTGTCATCAAATTTGACGTCCGGGCCTATTGCTTAAGTGATGGTGATAGTCCACTTTCAAATTCAATTCCGTAGATGCCCTTCCTCGAGCAAAGCGTCTCGCGTTTTAAGCACGATGAATCAAGGTACGCTCTAAATTCAACTTTTTATCATGCTTTTACCCTGTTTAACTATTTTCGCGACCGTCTGAAGGCTTTAATGAAGGCCACAAGGCAGACACAATCAACGGTTCTGGAATTTTAGGTCCTACCGTCTTGTAATTTCTCCCAGTCATTTTATTGCGTCAATCAATAATTCTTTACCAGTAAGAATTATCATACCTTGTCACGATGGATTTAGTGAATTTACGTAACATAAAATCTACACAAAGTCGCATTTTATACAGTACTCTAATCGGCGACTCCGTTTTTATAAGATACCTAAAAGTATCCATCGGCTTGACCTTCGTTCAGCCTCTTAATGCAAGCCTACCATCCTTTTTGACTTATCACCCAATTAGTAATGTCATTCTATTTTAGTTCTCAAAGATCGGCGAAATCAGTCCGAAGTTTTGACCAGGTTAACACTCTGCGGAACTAGTTGCGTGCGCACTGCTCCACGGTTTGTGGCTTGGAGGACCTAGAGGCTAGCTCTGCTAGACAGGGCATCCCACTTGCTAACACTCATTACTCGTTTTAAAATTACGGTACAAAACGTCCTTGGAAAGCATGAAACGTCCAGGCGCTCAACGTTCTTAGACTTTTAGTGACAAATGTAGTTGCCTCTTCCCTAACAGCTACTTGCTGCTGTGGGAGGCAAACAGAATGAACGATTCAACTCTGTTATTAAAGCTGTTTAAGCGTGTGGTCTTAAAGGAGTTTTTAAGCAAAACGGGTCGCCTTAGACTTCTAACCGATTATTCTGATGATTAGTTTTGCTGCAAACCGCCCCATTACCGTTGCTCTCAGCGGTTGTGCCCGAAATTCGACAGTCAACTCAATTCAAGTTCAGCATTCTGTCCAAAACGTACTTTCCACAGTACTTAGGCTGTTCGTCTAACCTCAGGATAAACCTTGCCAGTATTCATTCACCTTATGAAATACCCATTTGGTGACTGCTACACTTTTGCAACAAGTATTATTATAAAAATTAAAGGATATCCATTGCTTAATAAAGTCCAGCAATTGGGTATCGTGTTGTGAGCCTCAGATAATCGGTAAAAAAATTCACATGCAGTCTATTTGACCACAGTGAGGCCAATGATACAGTCAATTTGATTGAGACTAGTGACAAACATGGCAAGTATTCCAACGCGCTTAACCCAATATATAGTGTTGTTTGTTTGCAGGTAGAATGCTAGGATTCATATTTAATTTTGCCAAGGAGATCTTTTGAAATCCAATTCGATTGATTTGCAAAATTTACGCTTTCCATCAATCTAGGTTGCGTGAGACGTTTTAAAACTCTGTGAATGTTATTGTCTTGTTGCAGATTTGTAAGACAGTAATCATCGTTTACAATTACAATGAGCGTCAATGAGAGATTGAGCACATATACACCTAGAGGCTAGTGGGCTACAAGTGGTAATTTGATCAGTTGATGCAAATAATTATCGGTCTTGGGGTGTACCAAGAATTCTTCGCAAATGTTCATCACCAGTCTGAAAACCTATTCCATGAAATGAATAAGTAGCATATATAATTTTCCCGTGAGCTTTCAGGAGAACAAAATGGGTGACTTTGTGTAATCATTATGGGCTTCCGGCTTTAATGCTCGTTAATTGATGTTGATCCAAGAATTGGGGACAAGATCAAGACCCCTCAACGAACTTCTTTAGCAAAGTATGCATTCTGAGCAGATCTTTACAACATTCCGACCATGTTTAGACGTCACGCAGGCCCCAAAATACTAATCACAGCCAATGAGACTGTTTGACAGGCTCTCATCAGATGGCTCCATTATTTGAGTGACGGTCTTTTGTGCCGGTTATTGTTAAGGTACGAGCATCTCGACCTGCAGTGCTAAAATATTTTGAAAATATATCTTATCCACAACCCTTTTTCGACATATAATTAAGACATGAAGCAGACCTGAGGACTTTTAAAGAGCTTGACTAGGAAAATATGCAGGTTAATTTTATTCGTGTACTAGAGATATGTTAAAAGGATGATTTTCGTTTGATTTGGTTGGATGAAATCATATGCATGGGCGACCAAACTCGTGAAAAATTAAAATGACCAGTGATTAAAGTTGAGTTTGGGGAACATGTGCTTCTCAAATTATTTTCGCCAATCTTCCCTGCGTGTTTACCACTCGTTGATTGGCAATCATTTAAATACATGCATTTACATTTGAACATATATTGGTTTTATTCTAATCTCCAGCTGGATTGATGAAGACTATCAGACTGTATAGAATCACAAGTCAGAATTTTAACCCTAGAGGCAATGCGTTTTTTCATGCACGGCACCTAAACTTAGATAGAGATGGTCGAAATATGCAGACTGTACTTGAAAATTATTTGGATTGAGCTCATTCGATTTATAGTTATTTAAATTGGCAATGTGTGGATTATATTAATAATTTTTCCTAAGGTCCTGTGTTAGTTAACTGTCCAAAACAATATTTGATTAGATCTGACAAAAATGTCAAAACCATCAGCGATGAAAATCAATTTTTTTTCTTCAACCTTCAAATGAAATTTTTTTACAAGACTATATGCTATTAAGCAACAAATTAAATGATATTAAAATTTCTGAGATGCAAATTAGGGCTTTAATTTTTCAAATAGGCTACTTTGCTTTTTAGGATTGTTACCTGACTTGTGTCCAACTAACAAAACAAACGCTTCCCGCGGCCTTTTGGCAAGCAGGTACTCATTGACGCCTGTTCTTTGGTAGACCGTGGTAGTCTTTTCCGTAGGTTATTTAGTGCTATGTGCTTCAACATCCATTCTAGTTCTAGTTTAATTCTTTGGGATTATTGGTGGTGTTTCTGATCTTTTGGGGCTATGGCTGTTTAGTTTTACTCTGCTAATTACCCCTGTAAGACAACTTCCGCCTTGGTGTTTCACGCGTTCGGTAACACTTGTAGGCGTGGTTAATTTTTTATGTAGTTATTTAGTGGTAGGTACTTAGACGAAGCCACGTTTTTCAGGTACATTTCTTTGGCATGTCGTGAATGACCATTTTGTGCTTGGCTTTAACGACTCCTTGTCTTTTTAGTTCCAATCATGTCCTGGGATGCCATTCTTAATAGCATGCTTCAATACCCCAAGGTAACGTGCGGCTGCCTTGCTGGTGTCGATGGAGTTATATGGTCATCGTCTCCCGAATTTAAGGTACCCATTCCACCACTTTATAAGTTTCCCATGTTAGCCCAGCCAGGAAGATATCCTTAAAATAGTCAAGGTGGCTTCCAGTGGCCAGAACGAGTCTGTTTCGATAAGTGGCAAAAAACTTATCACTGTCAGGTGTGGAGGAAACGAGCTCTCCGCTACCGGAAGCGAGTACGCAATCCACGCTCGTGTACTCACCAAAGCCGTTGTCATTGCGGCCAACTCCGACCCCAAAAATAACCCTGGCGTCAATTGCCTCCTCTCAACCGCTAGCTGCGCAACAGCCAATCACTTGGCCTCGTCTGGATTCTAGGTTTCCCTCTTCGATTTTTTCGCCAAGAAAGCGCATGTCCCAGCCTACCAGCGTTAAGTTTCGCTTTAATAACTGTGCTTAATGGATTCCTTGAATAAATGCATTCAGGCATTTTTACCTGGTTTTGGTTATCTTCGTGGGTTGGGCACCTTAGTGTTTGAAAATTCGTTGCATCCATCAAGCCGTTGACGGACACAATTATCGTGTACCTCTAATTTAGTGTCAAAGAATGTCTTTACAATCAAACTGTGGCTGTGGTTCGGCATGCATTGCTATCGTATCCAAGTTGTCTCAGAAAGCGTGTCAAATTGAATCGTTGCGATCCATCAAGCCTGAATCAGCACTGCTTCCCGTCCTCCCTGCTGATACCGCTCCTTCCCCCATCATCTCAATTAATTTTACGCGGTTATTTCGCCACGCCCTCATTCGACACGCTCCCCGTCTCCGTTAGTGATGATAACTCGTGTGAGCTCGAATGCGCACTTTATTGCTGATACGCTTGTCCCGTTGCAGGTGCACATTCACTGTTTCACTTGTAGTTTGTCGATCGATGATGCGCACAGGCGCAGACCAATGGAGCGGCTAGCTGTCAATGTGCGTGAAATCACACTCCAGCTGACGTGCGCGCGCTTTGGCTCGTGCGTTTTCTGCCATGTCGGTATTTTTTGGCCAAAACTCGTCATCCTTTTCCTCTGTTTCATTTGCGTTCAAATATCTTAGTTACTGGATAATGGTGTTCCCTTTCAACTTAACGCTTAGAAAGCTCGGGTGGTGGTCACTGCCTCTACTCTAGTGTTGGTTGCTCCAATGAAACGTAGTTAGCAGCCAAGGGTTTATTTTGCTAACAGGTTTTCTTGTCGGTAGTTCCAACTAGTTATCGATTTTGCCTCAGCTTATCAGTACGCAAGACTTCTAGACCGCTCATTTTCAGTGGCCTTCTAAAAATTTTTAAACAGCTGTAACTTCCTCATTTCCTTCCGCGGGAGTCTGGAAGCAAGTCGATAGTTAAGAGCTGCGTGACTAGTCGATCAGGCCCAGTAGGAGAATGATACTACAGCCTCGGCAGGCCCTTTTAACTCGATGTGGTTTTGATCCAGTCGTCGAGATTGGGCTTAGTTCACGCGTCCAGGTTTTCTTGGTTGACTTGACTAATGGCGTAGTCCAACGCGGTATGGTATCTTTCCCGTAGAGGTGCATTTAAACGGATTCAAGGCATTCGTAGCTAATAAGTATCTTTTGGAGCCGCTTTCTGAGGGCGTGATGATTGTAAGTTTTAAATGAAGAGTCTGTTCGAAGATGCTGGTCTCCTATTCATCCCCGGAAATCGGCACACAATGATTTAAGTGTTGATCTTTACCATTTAAGTGCCTAACATTTTCTAGGAATATGTAGAAGTGCGGAAATAAGCACTGTATGTCAATCTTGGAATAAAAACTCAAATTACCTGTGCCAAATATGTTCACGGTCTGCCGGCAAGACTTGCAGCTGAAATACCTAAGACTGACACACATTGTTATTAACAATAAACTTATGATTCCGTCAGGTTTTATACGCGTTCTTCGCAAGTCCGATCAAAACTTTTAAACGTTGGAGAAACTTCTACATTCGTGAACCCGTTAATATAACATCACAGCAATATTTACTTGGTATTTTCACGGAAATGAAGGCGTTTTAAATCCCGACGGTAAGAATACGTAAAGGTAACACGTGGATATTTTGAAGCCTTTTTTCCTACAACGGTTGAAAGTACACAGGAGCGTTCCGGCGACGAGATACTTGCTTCACTAATCTAAGCAATGTGCACCATGGAGGACAACTGCCGACATCAGCGTTTAATCAGGTTCCGGTACATTAAGCATCGCTTACTCAAAACATTATGCATCCACCTACTGTACTAAATACCTATATTCAGAATTCAGAAGAGAGTAGTACTTGAACCGATGCGCTTTTACAACAGGAAATATTGAATAAGCCGAAACTATCGCACCCCGGTATGTCTCAACGCACTAACGATGCCAACATGGCACATTAACACGTTTCCTAATTCCGACGATAACGACAATTACTCTATTTTCACCCCTACAATACCTCTGTATACTACCCGTTGTGTTCAGCAATTTGATGATCCCATACGATTGGAAATGGAAGAGTCATTTAAAATTTAATTTGCCGAAGAAGAGCAGCAGGCTCCCCGAAATAAACTAGGGCCAGCAAAACATTTGGCTTCGAAAACGAAATGTCAAACGCCCCTCTGGTGGCTGATGCGACAGTGGGGCACGGATGCAGAGGTTCCATGCATGACTAATCTCCCCGGCGAGGTAATAACTCGCACAATCCCACCGCCGCCGCCGCCACCACCACAAGCGAAGGTCTGGTTGACGCATTCTTAGGCGTACGCACACGGGCATGACTAATGGATTTCCGTCCACACAGACGTGAGGCTGGTGAGAGAGCCAAGCCCGTGTCAGCCTTGATTGGTTGGCTTAGCGCATTTATCGAAGTGGCTGTTTCAGTATAAACAATTAGATACAGACAGTGGTGGGTAAAGTGTTATTGTGTACAACCGCCGGCAAATTGTTTATGCAGGTGTAGGGCTTTTGTACCACAGCAGCAATGTGTCCAGACCTTTGGGATGACCAACTAGGTCAATTAACACCGAGTGGTTACTACTAATTTGGAACTTTTAGCTTGGAAATCATTTCGTTTAAACAAATATGATAATGAGCCTATGCTACCTAAGACAGTGCCTTCAAATTCTAAACAACTACTTCAATCTTCACAAAAGGGGAATTCACGCGTAGACAAAATTCTTATTAGTACCTTGCTTTTCATTGAGCCGTCTGATGTCGTTATTCGGCAAAACGAAAATGAAACGATTCAAATAAAACTCTAGGGAAATCTTTATTAATGGTCTTATAGGTAATACCTTCTTACAGAAGCAACGTTCGTAAGGGCTCGAAAATCGAGGGCGCAAGGCAGCTTCGTGCGACAATATCGCAAGGACTCCATGAATTATGTGTAGTTATCACTTCACTTCCGAAATTCAAAGCCACCAGTGCCTCCGCATCCAGCGAGACTCCATCAGCAAGCGCCAGACGACTTAGGTTGAAATCGCACGGAGAGTTGGTTGGTGTGCCACGGCGTTGAGAAGGCTGACGCAAGTAATCAATACCACTTGGTCTGTAAACTTAGCCAGTGTTATTGCTGAATTCCGAATTCCTGTTAGGTAGATTTACTAGTTTGGTGGTCAGTGATGTGGGAAAGCCTCACAAACATCCAATCTTGAACTCACGCCTCCATATTAATTTCAGCATTACCACAGTGGCATGGGTCAACGCGATCCCTGAAGGGGAAGGGTTCTCAACGCTCTTTCCACCCCCCTGCCACTAATGGACACAACCCAAATGAAATGAGGTCATTATCACCCTGATGACTCAATAACCAACACTGCATAAAACGAGGTGACGCTTGGGATCGATCAAAATGCGCCACAGACCAGACCTGACATGAAAGGGTGTAGTAAACTAGGCGAAATGCCGACCAAAACAACTTCCCCACAGGGGCCTAGACTGTGCATACCTTTTTATCAATCAGAGCAAAACAACCGATTTGGTGAATTGAATGCTTGTTTATTGAAAAGTGCCAAAAAATGGTTGTCTTAGAGCTTAGGCGATTGAAACGTCGAATCGGCAGCATGGCAGTACAGCGAGAAAGAGCATGCGCGTAGCCGTGCCTTGGATTTGATTCGCCACATATGGCCATGGTCCTCGCGTGCATGCGTATCTGAGTTGAGGGTTACTCATGCTTGCTGCTGGCCAATCAGAAGCGAAGTGAACCTGGAGGTTTTTTCAACTCACTAGCTAGTCTATTAGTATGCGAAGAGGGGGCGAGTGACGATTCGTGGTGTTACCTGCCGTTTCTTTTGAAGTAAAGACAAACGAAGTAAAAAAATTCACAATTTTTAGGGCTTGGATAAGTTTACTCACCTAGTGAGTGGAGCTTATTTAGGAAAAAACGCCGACCTTTTTAGCTGCTTACCAGGGTGGCGTTGCTTCAAATATGTCTTTGCAAGGCAAATTGCCAAATAAATTGTGTTAATCTACAGAAGCGGCAAAGGGTATGCTCCACGACCGTCTAGTGAGTTAGGAAAATGAATTTCCGAATGCCAATGGCCTAACAGTCTAAATCCCCTCAAAGTGGTGCGCTGTTGAGGCTGTAGGGGTGTATTTTTACACCCAATCCTCTCATGAGAGTGATGCTTGCATGAATATTCCAACGTAGTTGTCCTGTGTTAATGCCTTGAGGTGAACAGGAGAATATGTGACGTATGTTCTCGAGTGCGAACATAACGCAACTACCAATTGTGGCCCCTAATTGTTCTGCATTCTGATGACAATAAACCATGTACGATTAAAAGTAAGGTACATGAATATTGGGTCCACGTACTTCAAAGCCACCTTTTAATTTATGTTAACAGGTAGGTCCATATAATTCTCAATCGAACTGTAGTACTTTGAGCTCTACGATTTAGGCAAAGAATCAAAGGCGTTGGAGATTTTTCCTATCGTTTGTAACAATTGTTAAAGTTTTCCCAAACGGACGTTAGAAGCTCCAAATGGGGGACTGTTGATGAGCTTGAGCTGAAAACTACACAACGTAATGTTATCCGCCTGTTCAGTCACCACTACTAGTGTCTGAAGCGAGACGTATGCACTTAAGGTAGCGTAAGTGAAGAAGTCTCACATTTTTGCGTGCGTGTGGGTGCGCGTAAGTTTGTGTGCTTCAGGAAAATGCAATAGTTAGTGGCGTGGATGAATCACTGCCACTTTGGATTTAAGCAGATTAAGAAAGCCGGGGCACTACCTATACACTGCGTGGACAAGGGCCATTTACTTTAGCATTAGTCACAAGAAATGACGTTTTGCATTTCCCCATACTTACCTTAAGCACGTGATTTATGGTAACCTACATGAGGAAATGCCACATGATAACACTTTTGT